GCAGTACCCCTAAGCTCAGCACCCCCAGACTCCGCACCCTCAGACTCAGCACCCCCAGGCTCCAGACCCTCAGGCTCAGTACCCCCAGGCTCCGCACCCCCAGGCTCAGCACCCCCAGAGTCCGCACGTTCAGACTCAGCACCCCCAGGCTCCGCACCCTCTTGCTCAGCACCCCCAGGCTCCGCACTCGCCGGCTCAGCACCCTCAGATGTAGCACCCCTAGGCGCAGCACCCCCAAACGCAGCACCACTAGCAGCACTTGAGTCTACAGCGACCTCGACAGGCACAGTCCCAGGGAGCGGGTCTACCAGAGACACACCAGAGGGAGCAGGACCCTGAGGGGGGAGGGGGTCTACCGGAGGGGGACCTTGGGCAAGGAAGAGCGGCGGGGGAGGTAGAGGGGCAGTGCGGTAGGGGAAGAGACGGTAAAAGGGAACCGACTCGTCAAACGTGACGTCCTGAGAGGGGAGGACACGGCGCGAGGTGGGGTGGTAAAACTGCCAGCCAGGCGCGTCAGGGGGAAAGCTAAGGAAGACGCAGGGAATAGCGCGGGAGGAGAGCTTGTCCGCGGAAGGATCGCGGACAAAGGCACGAGAGCGCCAGACCCGGAACACCGACGCATCGCCAACCTTCCCCGTCCAACACAGTTTAGGCGAGGTCTCCGGCAAGGAGACACGGGGCCAGAGGTTGAGCTGATGCGCAGTGTACCAGACCGCAAACGGCCACAGAAAATGGGGAGCAGCCGAATGGATCATGGAGGTATCAGCCACCTCCATGAAGCCAATGCGGCGCTCAGCAATCCTATTTTGCTGCGGGGAGGCCGGAAGCATGAACGACTGGAGGATGCCCTCCCCACGACAAAAGTCCCGCAAGAGGTCGGAGGAGAACTCACCACCTCTTTTAGAGTGCACTTGAAGGACAGGAAGGTCCTCGCGGAACCGCTCGCGGAGCTGGAGACGGACTGCGCGAATCCAAGGGATCAAGACATCAGGGACCTCACCTTTGTTGCGCAAGGGGAAGATCGTGGTGTAACGCGTGTAGTCGTCAACAACCAGCATAAAGTAGCGCTCGCGGCCCTGTCCACTGACGCGGGCTGGGCCCCACACGTCCATGTGGAGAGTCTGCAGGGGAGCAGTCATCGGGGGAAACGAGGAGGAGTGAGGAGCGGCGCGCTGCCGCCCCTTGACGCAAGGAAGGCAGGGCGGGGCATGCGAGGGCGGGAGGGGAGGCAGAGACCTAGGAAGACCAGAAACAAGGAGGCGGGAGTGCATGCCACGAAGGCGTGGCAGGGAGGGGTGACCAAGTCGGTGGTGCCACAGGAGAGTCTGGTGCGACAGGAGGCGACACGAGCAGGGAGCTGCTACCGGACCTGACGCGGACACCTGAGCAGACGCAGCTACCTGAGGAGGCTCGGTAGTCAGTGTGTACAGACTCGACCCAGGCCGACGGGTGAACGTGGCCAGGTGACGGCTTGTCCGTGTACACGTGCAGATCGACACACGCTGACCCCCAAGAGTGGTGGAAGTGACCATCGCATCCTGGAGGGCAGCGGTACTCACCAAGTTCGTAGAGAACAAGGGGAGGTGAAGACCTGACAGTGAGCCAAACAGAACCGCCGGACATGGGAGAACAGTGAAGGAACGGGCAAGAACTGGGCCCCCTGAGGGGTCAGCCAGTCAGACCGGAACAGGTGCAGGGAGTGGAGTGAGGATGGTACTGTCGCGAAAGAAACTGCGGGAAGCACCTGAGTCAAGCGTAAAGGTGTGCAAGGCCTCAGCAGGCGCAGTACCAGGGAGAGCAGACTCACTATAACCTAGAGCAGCAGCCTCTATACCTGGGTCGGGCGGCACACACAGGTAAGAGTCACCCTCAGCACTAACAGACAAGGCATACATGGCAGCAAGGATAGCATCATAGTCAAGAGCAAAGATATCAACTCCAAACCTAAGCAACTCTGACCAGCGAGGGCGCTCAGCCTCGTCACCAAACTCTGCGCGCCAAGCATCGTCTAGGCGGGAGAATCAGCGGTGCTGAGAGTGAAACTTCCCGCATGTCTGACCAGCACGGTCACCCGTGCGAATGACATACGGGTAGCGAACACTACCCCCAGACGCCCCACGCTGAGCAATACACTCACGAAGCTGCTGGGGTGTAGGGGTCTCGCTCCGACACTGCTGCTGCTGCCTCTGGCCACCGCCAGAACCTCCCCTCTAAACAGCTCCACCCCGACCGCCACCATTGCCCCCGTCACCACTCCCACTGCCGCCACCACCGCCACCCCCACCGCTGCCACCACTGCCGCCACCAAAGCCACCACTCCCGCCACCACTCCCACCGCTGCCACCACATCCGCCACCTCCACCGCCTCCACTGCCTCCACCACCACCCCCCCCGCTGCCACCGCCACCACCCTTGCCACCCTTGCCCTTGCTGCTGCGGCGCTTCCCACTAAGAGCAGAAGCAGCCTCGACATCCTCAGCACCAATGATGTCAACAGTAGCAGCAGAAGCGTAGGAGGGGGCAAGGGGGGAAGGGGAACACCCTTCAAAGAAGGGTGTGCGAGGAGTGCCACGAGCAGCACCTACAGCGACTACGCTAGTCTCAGCTGCAAGGAGGTGTTTCTCGAGTAGGTCGAGAGTGAGGTATGTGGGGTCAAGTGCGAGAAAGTGGTCCCTGACAGTGCGAAGAGAGTCAGGGAGGCGGGTGACTATGAAGTAGAGAGTGATGTACATCGGGGGCAGGTTCCTGTCCAGGAACTCGGCTGGGAGGGCAGCGCGGTAGCGAGCGTGGTTAGTGCGGAGGTGGGTAACGAGGTCCTCGACTGTGGCAAAGTCTGACAGCTCGGGAAACAGGTAGGGCAGTATAAGGTGGCCGAGAGCAGCAGTGGCAGGGGAAGAGTAACGAGCGACAACAGCGTCGTACAGGGCCTTGGTAGTCTTGTGCTGGCCAAAGTGAGCGCGTTCGGCTAACGGCAGGTGGTTGCGAACGGCTAAGTGAGCAGCTGCGTCACGGGTAAGCCACTGTGAGCAAGTCGGACTGTCAGCTGTGGCGGGAGGGGCGAGAGAGGCTCCAGACGTGTGGTCAAACAACGAAACGCTGTCTCTAGAATCGCACAGCAGGTAAAGCTGTAAGTCGTTGAGACAGCCCTCATGATCGAAGGTGAGTACACTGAGAGAAGCCATAGCGGGCAGAGCAGGGTGGCACGCGGCTAGCAGGGCGGCCCGCAGGCAGGGCGGCACGCGAGCAGCAGGGCGTCGCACAGCAGGGCGGGCAGCAGCAGGGTGGCGCGGGCAGGAGGGCACCGGCCAGCAGGGCTGCGCGCAACAGGGCGGGCAGTAGCCGGGCGGCGCAAGTAGCAGGGCGGCACGCAGCAAGGCTGTGCGGGCAGCAGGGCGCTGGCCATTAGGGCTGCGCGCAACAGGGTGGGCAGCAGCAGGGCGGCGCGCGGGTGCAAAGGGCGGCGAGCGGGCCGCAAGGGGCGGCGAGCGGGCCGCAAGGGGCGGCGAGCGGGCCGCAAGGGGCGGCGAGCGGGCGGCAAGGGGCAGTGAGCGGGCGGCAAGGGGCGTCGAGCGGGCGGCAAGGGGCAGCGAGCGGGCTGCAAGGGGCGGCGAGCGGGCCGCAAAGGGCGGCGCGGCGGGCTGCAAAAGGGCGACGCGCGGGCTGCAAAGGGCATCGCGGCGGCCAGCAGGGCGGCGCGTGGGTAAGGCAGAGCGGGCAGCAGCAAGGCGGCGCGGCGGGCTGCAAAAGGGCGGCGCGCGGGCTGCAAGGGGCGGCGAGCGGACTGCAAATGGCGGCGCGCGGGCTGCAAAGGGCGGCACGGCGGGCTACAAATTGAGGGGCGCGGGCTGCTAAGGGCGGCGCGGCGGCTAGCAGGGTGGCGCGACAGGCAGGGCAGGGCGGGGCCGGGTAGCGCGACTAGTGGGACAGCGCTCTGTGGTGGGCCCTAAAAAAAATCGGTTCTAGAACAGGACATGCTCTGAAACCATGTCAGAATACTGAACGAGAATGAATGCATTGAGCAGAAAGTTGGGTACAAGTACTAACCCTAATTGGGTTGTACCCCTTATGGGCCCCACTAGAGCCTACACAAATGTAAGCACTATAACATTTTGTCAGTCTACACCAGTGCAGGGCCTCAGATTCGTTTTGGGCTAGGCAGAAAAAACAAAATTGGTACAAAACGTTTTGCTGAAAGTCAGACAATTCAGCCCTTTGATGTCGTTTTACACTACAAATCTACCGTAATAAAAAAATCCGCTTCTTTTCACGAAGTTGCTGAAAAATCTGCCTCGATTCTAGAAATAGTTTGAAATCCCAGCCTTGTTTTTACCTGAATCAGCCATTTCTAGCTGACTTCTGAGGCCCTGCACCACTGCTCCTAGTGATTGGCTCCTTGTAGCATGTGCTCAGTACAACATATGAAGTTTTCAGGTTCTAGAAATCGCTAAACAGAGTTACTCCATTTGGATTGAACGAACCCTCGATTCTGAGATTGTCTTGTGTCCACCGTCGAAGATGAGGTTCATTTACACAGGTATCACATTCCTTCCTAGTACCCAACACTGTAACCAGTCCGGTCCGGACTGATTGTCTCATCATTGCAACATTCTATGAGCAACCACTGGCTGATGGGATGGGAGGGCAGCGCATGCAGTTAACTACATCTCCACTAGCGTGCTTGATGTTGGAGGAAAGCTTGACCTAGCAGATAAATGAAGGCAGATGCGAGCTGCCATGTGCTTATTCACTCTGGGGAGAGATTCCGCAACGACCACGATTGATGGCAGGACTTTGACCGCACGAGACGGCAGAGGAACAACCTGCTGCTTTGAGAGACCAGATGCTTCCATGTCCCATGCTCCTGGCTCGTGTCGCTCTCTCCACTGCCCCACGGTGCGGCACGGCAGAAAGCGCACTGACGCAACTTGTGGGGCATGAGAGAAACTTGTGGGGGGGCAACAGTGGAACGTAAGGGGCACTAGTGCAGGTGATGTGGGTGGTCAGTGGAACTTGTGGGAGGCGATGAGGTTCTTGAGCACGTTGTTGGGCGTCAGACACGTGTGCGGGAGGGGCTGGCCGGTGGCGGGGGAGAGCGAGGAGGAGCCCATCCACGTGGTGATGTGCTGCCGCTCGTACGTGAAGCCGTCCGCAGCCACCACCGGGTCCTTCATTATCTCCTGCTCCATGCCCATGCCCATGCCCCGCACCCACCCATGCATTCAACCACACATACAAATACATCCGTAGCACACACACACACACACACACACACACACACACATGCACACACCCATGTACGCACACACACCCATCCTCACATACACTCATGGATGCACGCAGCCCGGCACACACACCCACTCACAATCACACATTCATGCCCGCACAAGCACCCATGCACGCACCCGCCCATGCCCACAGCACGCGGAGAGACAAGGTACGTTGACATTGGGGCGAGGAACAAGCCTTGGCGACTCATTCCAACCATGCCTATGAAGCAGCACACGCCTCCTGACCTCAGGCACATGCATTGCCTGTGGCGGCAGGATAGATGAACCGTGCCAATACCAATCAAACAAGCCTCTGCACCAGCGCACGCACCTTGGAGATGGGGCACGCACCTTGGAGATGGGGCACGCACCTTGGAGATGGGGCAGATGAACTGCGAGTCGATGCGCTGCTTGCGCCGCCGCTCCTCCGCGCTGGCCTCAGCCGCCACGCGCACCAGCGTGGGGTGGATCTCCTCCGCCAGGTCGGGCCGGTTCTCGCGCCGCCGCTCAGCGCAGCGCAGCGCCAGCGCGGCCACCTGCTCCGCCAGGTCCAGGCGCCAGTCGCCCGCCGCGCTGTCCAGATACCGCAGCACCATCTCCGCGCCCGCCGCCGCCCGGGGCTGCCCGGGCCTGGCGGGGCGGCTGGTGCAGTCGGCGAGCATGCGGTGAACGGCCTTGACGCTGCGCTGCCCCGTGAGCAGCTGCAGCAGGATGAGGCCGAGCGCGTAGATGTCGGACAGCACGCTGATCTCACACGTCTCCACCTCCTCGGGGTCGATGTACCCCGCTGTGCCGCGCACCTTCATTGTCATGACGTCATCGGCGCACAGCAGGCGCGCCAGCCCCACGTCACCGATCTTGCTCATCATGTGCCCGTCCAGCAGGATGTTGTCGGGCTTTAAGTCGCGGTGCACGATGGGCGGCTCGTTCTGGTGCAGGTACAGCAGCGCCGACGAGATCTCCGAGAAGATTCTCAGCCGGTCCACCCACGACAGAGGCACGGAGTCGGGCGTCTTTGGCGGGCCGAGCTTGTCCTGTAGCGTGCCGCCCGAGAGGAACTCGTAGATGAGCGCCATCTCTTCGACGCAGCAGCCCATGAGCAGCACGATGTTGGGGTGGCGCATGCGGCTCAGCACGTCCACCTCCATGCGGAACTCGTCCGGCCCCTGCCACCCCTGCCCCTCGAGGCGCTTCACCGCCACCTTGCACCCCAGCATCTCGCCCCGGAACACGTATCCAAACGACCCGCGCCCCAGCAGGTTCTCGCGCGCATACCCGCGAGTGGCCTTCTCCAGCTGCTTGGGCGTGAACAGGCGGCAGTCAAACCCGTCGCCGCCCGCCCCCAGCCCGCGCAGGTCGATCTGCCCCATGCTGTGCGCGCCCACGTTCTGTGCGCTGCTCCCACCGCCCGTGCTGAAGCCCCCGGCGACGGGCGGCAGCAGCGAGGAAACGGCGGCTGAGGCGACCGGGCGCGAGGTTGAGAAGCGCGAGGAGAAGCGGTTGCTGGGCGCGCCCCCCACCTGCCCCAGCAGCTCCATCTCCGCCACCGCCCTCCCTGCCTCCCCCCCCGCTGCCCCCTCCTGTGCAGCATCTGCGGGCAGCAGCGTGGAGGCGGGTGAGTCGGCGGAGAGCATGCTCTGCGGCCCACTCAGCTGCATCGCCCGCAGCTGCTGTGACAGGAAGCGCTGCAGACAGCGCAGTCATGCAGGGAGAGAGAGGGGGAGAGAGGTTGGAGGGAGGTGGGTGAGGGGAACGCAGAGGTTAGTAAATTCGCAGGTTTTGAGAGGTTGTAGAGAAGTAGGAACAGAGAGGTGACATGGAGTGTTTGAATGCGCTGGTGAGGTGACATGGATGAGGTGACATGGATGAGGTGACATGGATGAGGTGACATGGATGAGGTGATATGACCGACCTCTGATTTGTTGTCGTTGCCACGTGCGTCCGCACCCGCCTCTGCGGCTCTATTGCTGCTCACGGCCTTGCCCTCCCACCGCTCCTCCCCGCCCCCACCGGCCTCCTCCTCCTCATCCAGCAGCGCCAGCTCGTCCGCCAGCAGCGACCGCATGCCCCCCCCGCCCCCACCCCCACCCCCACCTGCACCGCCGTTCCCCTCCATCTCCCTGCCCGCCCCGGCCTCCCCCATCTGCGCGCCCCCCTCACCCCCCTGCCGGCCCGCAGAAGCAGCAGCGCCGTGTGGAGCCACGCAGAAGGCCACGCGGCGCACGCCGGGGCTGTCACGGCCCGCGTGGACGGGCGTGGCGAGGCGGCCGGTAGACGCGGGGGACGCCGTGGAGAAGGCCAGCGCGGCGGCGGCGGCGGCGGCAGCAGTGTCCAGCGGCATGGCGCTGGCACTGCTCGACCGCACCGCCTCCCGCAGCCCCCCCTTGCCCACCATGCCGCCCGCTGCGTCCCTGGCCGTCACGCGTGTGGGCGGCAGGCCCGGCTTGTGGCGGGCGGCGTCGGAGAGGCTGCGGTGGTAGTCATTCTCGTCCCCGGAGGAGGCGGAGGGCAGGTGGGGCGGGGCGGGCGAGGGCAGCAGCGAGTGGTGGTGCGCATGGTGGTGGTGCATGGCGAGAGTCTCCGCAATGGCTGCTGCTGCAACGCCGGGGGGGCCATAGTCAGCAGCGAGGGTGGGCACCTCCATGGAGGAGAGCGCGGAGGCAGCCAGCGAGGTGTGCCCCGTGGACGCGTCCACCGGCAGCATGGCCCTCAGACTCGCCAGCCGGTCCTCCTGTTGCCCCATGCCATGCCATGCCATGCCATCCCATGCCATCCCATGCCATGCCCCACACGTCACATGCCACAATCCCAGGCAGGCGGGAGAAAAGAGGATAGATGGTGAGAGTTGAGGCGCGGAGGCAGGGGAGAAGGCAAGTGGAGCAGGGGCGGATGGGAGAGGGGAGAGGCGAGGGGCCAGCATCAAGGCGGCGGACACCAAGGGGCCTGGCGCGCCCGCATAGAGGGGGTGCATGCAAGAGGACAGGGCGGTGGGAGCGGGGGGAGGGGGGGCACCTGGAGAGAGGAGAGCGCGGAGGCGTTGAGGTCCCCTGGGAAGGCGGTGCTGCCGCTGCTGCTGCCTGGCCTGCCCGGCGCCTCACTGCTGCCCTCCACAGACGAGTAGATCACTCCCGGCCGCAGCTGCTCCCCTCCCCCCACGCCCACCGCCTTCCCCCCTCCCTCCACACACGACCCAGCTCCCCCACACGCCCCCGCGCACAGTGGTGGTGGCGCATCACACGCGCCCGCTGCAGCGCCCCCTGCACCCGCCATGGCAACCCCAGGGAAGCCGCCGCTGTGGCTGCCTGTCCCTGCTAACCTCGCGCCCCCGCCTGCTCCTGCTCCCATCCCCGGCCCTGCCTCTCCCAACCCCCCGCGCGCCACCATTGGCGACGCGCCCTGCGACCATGCTTCCCGCACGGCGCCCGGGCCTGCAGGCGAGGCGGAGTCGGGCGCGAGCTGCGCGGGGGAGAAGCGCGCGCTGGACGAGCGCGCGTGCTGCGGCGACAGCAGCGCGTGCGCGCCCTCCACGTGCGACAGCGATGGCGACGAGCGGTGCCCTGCCCCCCCCGCCTCGCCTGCCCTCAAGCCCACGCCCCCTGCCGCGGCCATGGCAAGCGCCTCAGGCGCAGTGAGCGAGGGCGGGTGGAGGTGCGGATTGGGGTGCTGCGCGGAGAGGTGTTCTGAGTCGGGCGTGGCGGACCCTGACGGCGGAACGGCGGAGGCGGGGGCAGCGGAAGCAGGGGCGGCGGGGGCGTTGTAGCGACAGAAGATGAAGGCGTTGGGCGAGACAGCGAAGAAGGGCGTTTCTCCCCCGTAGCCCGGCATGGACTGGTGCTGCTTGGTGGCCTGCACCACCACCAGCAGACATGACGGGGGTAGCCCCGCCTCGTAGTGTGCTGACGCTGATGACGACCACCCCAGCAGCTTCCTGCCTCCACCACCGCATTGCACCGAACCACACCAGCCCCAGACAGCCCCAGACAGGCCAGGAAAGTCAGACGCAAAGACAGGCGGTGAGAGCAAGAAGGGTGTCAGTGAGCATCGTACACGGCAACGGTGCTACCAGGGTGCAACACACACAACAAGCAGCAAGAGCGGCAGAGCGGAGGGGCAGCGCGTGCTCACTTGCGCAGGCCCACGTAGACGCGCTGCGCGTTGGCTCGGCGCGCAGCAGCGCACAGCCCCAGCTCGCGGCGGTCGTTGCGCTCAATGGACGCGTTGCAGTGCACCTGCCGCCCACGTGGGGGAGGGCAGAGAGAGAGAGGCGCGTGTGGGGGGGTGGGCGGGTAAAGACGCCCAGCCATGCGGTTGAGTTGAGAGGAGAATAGAAGCTCATAAAGGGTGGGGCATGCGAGCGGGCTTGTGAGATTGCCTTTTACTGCAACCAGGCATGCACACGTCAAATCGCGATTAAAACAAAATGACTCGCCACAAAGCAACACCTCTTTCATTCTAGTCCGTTAGCGCCTAAATCATCCTGCATTCGTTAGTGCTTTTCTGCATTCATTAGCGTTTTTCTGCATTCATTAGCGCTTTTCCGCATGACTTGATATGCGGTAGCGCGTGCGTCGCCTGGGCATGCGCGAGCACCTTTTTGGTTTTGGCGTGCGCGAGCAGCGGGCGCAGCATGACCTCCACGAGGCGACGGCCGTGCTCCAGCGCCGTCTTCGGATCCACCTCGCTCGCCGGCAGGTCCATTCCGCCTGCCGCCCCACGCGCCGTCGACGAGGCGGGAGAGGGTGGGGGACAGGGGAGGGAGAGTGAAAAAGTGGGGGAAAGAGGAGGGCAGGAGGTACCAGGGCGAGGGCGAACGGGGAGGGCGAAGGTGAGATTTGGAGGGAGAGGGCCGCGACACGGGCTTAAAGTTCGCAAAGTGGTGCAAGACACGCAAAGGTGGCATTCGATTCCGACCCTTGCTTCCCGGTTGCCATCGCGCTGTGACGATGGCAACGAGCCTACACACAAACGACGGGAATGCGCCAAGGAACACGCTGACGCGAACCCTGATAAAACAGCGCAATGGGTTCGACTTCATTGATAGTTTCAACATTATCTAGAACAGGACCAATCGCGACATGTAAAGCATAAAGCGACGACGCGAACTAAGGAAGCAAGTAAAGGACTTACACGAAAGAGTGGAGAAGCGACATCAGACAAACGAGGGAGCAGCAAGCAGAGCATCTCGATGCGGTGCCTGTTTGGAAAGGCGAATGATCTCACGAAGGAAATAGGCATGTAATGAGCGCGAGCCCTAACGGGCCTCGCCTGAAGCAGTCAGAATCCGTCTAAACTCACGGGAGCAAGGGACCTCAGTCATGACGTGGACGAGAAGGATAGTGATAGGTCCGTTTCCCCGCGACACCTCAGTTTCGAGATCCGCCATGGCGACGGAGAGCGCATCCTTGCTGACGTCCTTGTACTTGGTCACCTCCACCACCCACGTTACTTCTGACGCCGTCGGTGACATCGCTCGCTACCACCGAGCTTCCACGCGCAACCCAGAAGACAACACAACCACGGCCTCAACCAACTATTCCTGACAGAAGTTAACCTGAGCGGTAGTATGACGGGGTCATATTAACTTAATTAGCTAATGATACAAGGATTCTAGACCGATTTCAGCCCATCGAAAGCCTTCAAGTGGACACCGCAGCAAGACTCTAGAAGGTAGGGAAGCGCCATAGTTACCTACTTTAAGACGTGTGTGGGCATGATGGGTTAACCTAATGCAGCCTTTCCAAAAGCCTCACAACGCTCAGGCCATGTCCATTCCATAGGTCCGACTCCGACCGACATTGTATTTGCTGTGTCAGTGACTCTCTCCTCTGTCTCAAACCCTAGGCGTCTGTCCTGCAGGTCGCTGAACTTTGCTCGCCGTTACAGACAACTCTTGTCACAGCGGAAAACAGACGACCCAATCTCCCTTTATCTGCATCGCGACCATTCACCGTAGGTATGACCGCCGTGTGCGATTAGAAACAAGCTGTCGCTAGATCATGGAGAACACCGTCAGTGTTACCGTTTCACCCATAACCGACTCCAAAATGAACTCGGCAAATACGTTTTCAGAGTTTAGGGTCCACGCCCGAACCAAACCGAACCCAACGGTCTCCTTGAGGTTCCCTTCTCTATTTTTTCGAAACAACTGAGACTTTCCTTCCTGAATCCTCCTGACTGAGCTACTAGGACCGCCACGCACTGTAGCGTGGTTTCCCATTTCACGCGGATTGGCAAACTTTTCGTCGCTGCCAATCAGATGGCCAATTATAATGAGGGGTACCGCCCTCCGTTTTGTCGTCTACGAGGGGACGAGCTGAAGTGAAGTGTGGGCAGGGCACGGCCCTCCCTCAACACTGCACAACCGAATCGGGGGGAACAAAAGCAACTGTACCTTCGTTCGTCAATGTCACTTCAAGGATGTTTGAAATTCTCGATTAGGTAACGGATGAGTGAAATTATAGCACGTACACCAGACCAGAGACACTCCCTAATAAGGCCAGCATATGAAGTTCAAGAGAGAAGTGTTCTAAGAATGGCCATAAGAGAACCTGAATGAACGCTATTACCGTATTAAAACTGAATTATTAGCATAAGGAAATCGAGGCAAAAGTTGACATGAAGATAGCCGTTCATGTACCTACCGTACAGTGATTATATAGTTCATGCAAAAGTCCAAATGATATATTATTGTTACAGATCGGTATGAAGCCGTCCTGCCACCCTAACGTGGCTTTCAAACGGAGCCAAATGACCAAGTACGAGCCGAAAGACCTTGATGCAAAACGAGACTTCTAGTTGCTTACCCTGTAGCCACTATCGTAGGCTAGGGCTTCCGTCCTAATAAATGCAGTCGTAGGAGCAATATATCTACGACGGACGACAGCAACGCTAGGTTGCATCCTCGTAGTATCCCTTGAAGCACCGCATCACCCCACCGCGTGCGTCGAGCACCGCCGTTGCTGGCCACAATGCCACAACCCTGCCCAGACCACCCAAAGACTTGCAAGGCTTTCTGAAAGCTTCTCGCACTGCCCGACCGCCAACCATGCGGGCCGTCGTCGCGTCAGAGCGCGCCATATGCACGGCTCGATTGCTCGCCGCTGCACTGTTCGCGTGCGCGCTGGGCCTCGCGTCCGACGCGCTTACCGGCGCCGTGCAGCCTCCGCGTCTCGCGGGGTCGCCGTCGCATCACCACGTGACTGCGGCGCCGGTTCGCGTGCGAGCGGCTACGAGTCTGATCGCGGCGGCTGTGAGCGGGGGGACGGGGGAGCGGCACGCCGCTGCGCTGGCAGGCGCAGCGTTGAGTGGCGCCCTCGCGCGCCTCTATCGCCGCCGCCAGGCCCCTTCTCTGCGCGCTGACCCCGCCTGCCGTCCCGACCCCGCGCACCGTTTCATCCCCCACACACCTCTCTCGTTGCCCGTCCCCGCAAGCAATACCCCTCCGCTGCAGGCGCAATGCGCGGAAGAAGGGCCGCAATGCGCGGAAGAAGGGCCGCAATGCGCGGGTAGTAGGGCTCCGCTCTTCCCCATACTCGAAGGTAGCGTACCCCTTTCCCGCCATAAAACCTCTCCCCATTCCATGGGATTTCCCCCTCTTCACCTACCCTTACCCCTTCCCATACCACCACTCTTAACCTGCCCGTTGTGCCCGTTCACAACGTCCACCCCGCGCGCAGGTGTGCTGGACGCCGCGCTGCTGCACGTCATCGTCGCCGCCGCCACGCCTCTCCTCCCCCGCCTCCCCTGCCCGACCACCCTCACCCCCCACCCTGCCCACCCTTCTCCCCTCATGTCTACGGCGCTCGCCCCACCCGCCCTCGCGCTCGCCCGCCTGCTGCTGCTGCTCGCCGCCACAGCCGCCGCCACCTCCTCATCCTCCTCGCTCCTCCCCCTCCTCCTCCTCGCGCGCCCCCCCTCGCCCCCCCCCGCGTTCTGGCCGCGCGCCCTGCGCCTGCTGCTGGCGGACCTCGTGGCGCTGCTGCTCGGCGCGCTGCTGCTGCCCCTGGCGCTCGCGCCTGCTGCGCCACGCGCGCACACGCAAGGGCAGGGGGAGGTCGGGCAGGCGAGGGGGGAGGAGGGCATGATGGGGGAGGAGCAGGCTGGTGTGCGCAACGCAAGGGAGGGGGGGGACGAGGGGGGCACGGAAGGGAGTGAGGCTATGGCGGAGGGAGGTAGTGGGAAGGGCAGTCCGAAGAGCAATGGGAAAGGGGGATGGGGGGAGAGGCTGTATGTTGGAGCGGGGGCGGGGCATGCTACTAGGTGTGGGGGAGGCGTTGCGGCGGGCAGTGGGGGTGGCGGGGCATGGGGCATGGCGGTGCTGTGCGGTGTGGTGGCGGGCAGCTGTGGCACTCTCCTCTCAGGCGCCCTCTCCGCCTCCCATGCCGCCCCCCTCGCCGCCCTGCTGGCTCCCACTCTCATGTGCTGCGCCACCCACTGGCCACGGTAAGCGCCTCACGTGTATGCTTCCTGTTGCTCCTCGTGGTGAGGCCTATCGTGCTCTGCCCGCCCTCATGCATGCACGGCACGGCACCTAACCCCTCTTCATGCGCCCTCCCCCAACCGTCTCCGCCTGCTGCTCCCTCCACCAGCCACCTCGCAGCCGTCACCCTGGCACTGTCAGCATCAGCCCTGTCAGCCACGTCAGCAGGGTGGGGCCCCTTTCACCACGTTGTTCCGTTGGAAGCTACTCTGCAGGTGATTGGTGGGAGAGTGCCTCTAGATGATGGTGGGAATCGGCAAGTCGGTGAGAGGGTGGGAATGAGTGAGAGGGTGGGAATGGGTGAGAGGGTGGGAATGGTTGTGTGAGACAGGGGAGAGTGAGACAGGGGAGAGTGAGACAGGGGAGAGTGAGACAGGGGAGAGTGAGAGGAGGGTCATGTGGGATGATGGCACATCCCAGCCAGCCCTGCACACATGGCATCCTCCTACCTCCCTGCACCGGCACCCAAGTGCTCTCCTTGCCTCCCTCGCCCATGGCAGCTCCAGCTCTTCCTGCTCGCTCTCCTGCTGCTGGCCCACCTGCTCCTGCCACTCTCAACCGCCCTCCGCCTGCCCTTCATCATGTGCTGCCACACCGACACGTGAGTTATTGCTCCTGCGCCTACCAATCCAACCACACATCACTCCGTGCGCCCACCAGTGGATACCTCTCTACCAATTCCCCCCATCCCTGCGATTCGTCGCATGAGGCCTATTGCGCCCACTGCCGTTCCTCCCTCCCCCCACTGCCCTCCCTCCCCCCACTGCCGTCCCTCCCCCCCCACACGCACATTCCTCATGTCGTTCGCTGGCCCTCAGTGCGCAGCGGGCAGCGCGGGCACGGCGCGTGGCAGCACTGGAGAGGCAAGTGACAGCGCTGGAGGGTGAGGTGGCGGCACTGGAGGGCGAGGTGCGGCAGGAGCGAGAGGCGGCGAGAGCGGCAGGGGAGGCGGTGCGGGGGTTGGTGGAGGCGAAGGTGCAGTTCATGGCGAACATGAGCCATGAGATCCGCACGCCCATCCACGGCATCCTCGGCATGACCGACCTCGCCCTCGACTCCCCCCTCCCCCCTGACGCCCGCGACCACCTTGAGACCGTGCTGCAGTCCGCCAACCACCTGGTAACCACCTGGTAACCACCTGGTAATCACCTGATAACCACCTGGTAACCACCTGATAACCACCTGGTAACCACCTGATAACCACCTGGTAACCACCTGGTAACCACCTGATAACCACCTGGTAACCACCTGGTAACCACCTGATAACCGCCTCAGAGCATGTGTTTTGGCCATGCCACAAAGTACTTTCCAATCATCATGAGTATTTCCTCTGATGTGTCGGTATTTCTTTTCTGCCCCCACCCCCCGTGACCCCCTGTCCCCTTGGCCCGTGCGTGCGTGCATGGGTGGTGGGGCCGCTCACAGCTGCTGGTGGTGAACGACATTCTGGACATCACCAAACTCCAGGCGGGCCGCCTGCAGCTGGACAGCGCCCTCTTCGACCTGCGCACCCTCCTCAACGGCATCATGACAATGCTCGCCGCCCGCGCCGCCCTCAAGGGCCTGGCCTTCCAGTGGGAGGTGGATGCGGCTGTGCCGCCCCTGCTGCTGGGAGATGCCGTGCGCCTCCGACAGTGCCTGGTACGCACGGCTGTGATTCCTGTTGTTGATTGCTGGTGATATGGTGGTGTGACATGATGAGTGCATGGGGTGGTGCAATGAAAGTACGTGTGTTCCTTCCTCGCTCTGTGCTGTTCCCTCTGCCACCGCTGCTGTGCTGTGCTGTGCTGTGCTGTGCTGTGCTGTGCTGTGCTGCGCTGTGCTGTGCTGTGCTGTGCTGTGCTGCGCTGTGCTGTGCTGTGCTGTGCTGTGCTGTGCTGTGCTGTGCTGTGCTGCGCTGTGCTGTGCTGTGCTGTGCTGTGCTGCGCTGTGCTGTGCTGTGCTGTGCTGTGCTGTGCTGTGCTGTGCTGTGCTGTGCTGTGCTGCGCTGTGCTGTGCTGTGCTGTGCTGTGCTGCGCTGTGCTGTGCTGTGCTGTGCTGTGCTGTGCTGTGCTGTGCTGTGCTGCGCTGTGCTGTGCTGTGCTGTGCTGTGCTGCGCTGTGCTGTGCTGTGCTGTGCTGTGCTGTGCTGCGCTGTGCTGTGCTGTGCTGTGCTGTGCTGTGCTGTGCTGTGCTGTGCTGTGCTGTGCTGCTGCTGTGCTGTGCTGTGCTGTGCTGTGCTGCGCTGTGCTGTGCTGTGCTGTGCTGTGCTGTGCTGTGCTGTGCTGTGCTGTGCTGTGCTGTGCTGTGCTGTGCTGTGCTGTGCTGTGCTGTGCTGTGCTGTGCTGTGCTGTGCTGTGCTGTGCTGTGCTGTGCTGTGCTGTGCTGTGCTGTGCTGTGCTGTGCTGTGCTGTGCTGTGCTGTGCTGTGCTGTGCTGTGCTGTGCTGTGCTGTGCTGTGCTGCGCTGTGCTGTGCTGTGCTGTGCTGTGCTGTGCTGTGCTGTGCTGTGCTGTGCTGTGCTGTGCTGTGCTGTGCTGTGCTGTGCTGTGCTGTGCTGTGCTGTGCTGTGCTGTGCTGTGCTGTGCTGTGCTGTGCTGCGCTGTGCTGTGCTGTGCTGTGCTGTGCTGCGCTGTGCTGTGCTGTGCTGTGCTGTGCTGCGCTGTGCTGTGCTGTGCTGTGCTGTGCTGTGCTGTGCTGTGCTGTGCTGCGCTGTGCTGTGCTGTGCTGTGCTGTGCTGTGCTGCTGTGCTGTGCTGTGCTGTGCTGTGCTGCGCTGTGCTGTGCTGTGCTGTGCTGTGCTGCGCTGTGCTGTGCTGTGCTGTGCTGTGCTGCGCTGTGCTGTGCTGTGCTGTGCTGTGCTGTGCTGTGCTGCGCTGTGCTGTGCTGTGCTGTGCTGTGCTGCGCTGTGCTGTGCTGTGCTGTGCTGTGCTGCGCTGTGCTGTGCTGTGCTGTGCTGTGCTGTGCTGTGCTGTGCTGTGCTGTGCTGTGCTGTGCTGCGCTGTGCTGCGCTGTGCTGTGCTGTGCTGTGCTGTGCGGTGCTGTGCGGTGCGGTGGGGGAGGGCAGGTGAATCTAGTGGGCAACGCCATCAAGTTCACGGACCAGGGCAAGGTGCACATCACCGTGCACCCCTTCTCCCCCTCCCTCCTCTCACCAGCCCTCTCCCTCATACCACTTCCCTCCTCCCACTCCTCTCCTTCCTCCTCCACCATGTTTCCTCCACAACCTCTCACGCCCTCCCACCTGTCGACCTGCAACTCCACCACTGCCTCCACCACCGCCACCACCACCACCACCACCACGCCCTCTTCCTCTGCTGCCTCTGCCTGTGCCACCGCCCCACCCCCCTCGCCCTCTGCCCCTGCTGCCCCTGATGACCCTTCTGCTGCGCGTGGCGACGTGGATAATGGGGGCAATGGGGGCGATGGGCCCAGTGGGAGGGGGTCAGAGGGAGCAGCAGCGCCAGGGGGAGAGGGATTGGCGCTGCTCTTCACCATCAGCGACACGGGCGTTGGTGAGTACGGGCGTTGGTGAGTTGACACGGGCGTTGGTGAGTTGACACGGACGTTGGTGAGTTGACACAGGCGTTGGTGAGTTGACATGTGCCATGCTGTGTACGTGCCAGCGCGCCACAAGTCTCTCAGCATGCCACAAGTTTCTCAGCATGCCACAAGTCTCTCAGCATGCCACAAGTCTCTCAGCATGCATCAAGTCTCTCAGCATGCCACAAGTCTCTCAGCATGCATCAAGTCTCTCAGCATGCCACAAGTCTCTCAGCATGCCACAAGTCTCTCAGCATGCCACAAGTCTCTCAGCATGCCACAAGTCTCTCAGCATGCCACAAGTCTCTCAGCATGCCACAAGTCTCTCAGCGTGCATCAAGTCTCTCAGCATGCCACAAGTCTCTCAGCATCCATCAAGTCTCTCAGCGTGCCACAAGTCTCTCAGCATGCCACAAGTCTCTCAGCATGCCACAAGTCTCTCAGCATGCCATAAGTCTCTCAGCATGCCACAAGTCTCTCAGCATGCATCAAGTCTCTCAGCATGCCACAAGTCTCTCAGCATGCCACAAGTCTCTCAGCATGCCACAAGTCTCTCAGCATGCCACAAGTCTCTCAGCATTCATCAAGTCTCTCAGCATGCCACAAGTCTCTCAGCATGCCAAAGTCTCTCAGCATGCATCAAGTCTCTCAGCATGCCACAAGTCTCTCAGCATGCCACAAGTCTCTCAGCATGCCACAAGTCTCTCAGCATGCCACAAGTCTCTCAGCATGCCACAAGTCTCTCAGCATGCCACAAGTCTCTCAGCATGCATCAAGTCTCTCAGCATGCCACAAGTCTCTCAGCATCCATCAAGTCTCTCAGCATGCCACAAGTCTCTCAGCATGCCACAAGTCTCTCAGCATGCCACAAGTCTCTCAGCATGCAGCGCTTCTTCTTCACCAACTCTTTTCCGACCTCCACTCTCCTCTGCCCACCCGCCACCCTCTGCCCCTTTCCCTGTGCCCTCCTCCCTCTGCCCTCTGCCCCATGCGCTGCGCCCTCTCCCACGCCGTGCCTCCCGGGTGGGCGGGCAGGCATACCGGAGGGCGAGCAGAGGCGCATCTTCTGTGCGTTTGAGCAGGCAGACTCGTCCATGTCGCGCCAGCATGGCGGCACCGGGCTCGGCCTCTCCATCACCTCCAGGCACGCCCCCCTGCACCCTTCCCCTTCCCCCTCCCGGCCCCCTGCACCCTTCCCCTTCCCCCTCCCGCCCCCCTGCACCCTTCCTCCCCTTCCCCCTCCCGCCCCCCTGCACCCTTCCTCCCCTTCCCCCTCCCGCCCCCCTGCACCCTTCCTCCCCTTCCCCCTCCCGCCCCCCTGCTGCCCCTTCATTGTAGCTGCCATCCGGTCCTGTAATTTGTCTTGGAAGGCACGGCTGCACATTAGTGAGCAGTGAATGAAGCTGAGCCAAGCTGCAAGATCCCCTGGCAGGCAGAGGCAGGCAGAGGCAGGCAGAGGCAGGCAGAGGCAGGCAGAGGCAGGTGGAGCCGCAATGTCGATCGCTGAAGTCTGTGTGCCTCCCCCATGCAGGCTGGTTCACATGATGGGCGGCAGCATTTGGCTGCACTCTTCCCCTGGCGCCGGCAGCACCTTTGCCTTCTCTGCGACCTTTGCTGCGCCGCCCCTCTCTCCCTGCACCCCGCGTGCTGCCCCCCGTGCTGCCCCCCCTCCCCCGCGGCGCACGGTGAGTGCGGAGGAGCTGGACGGCCGCCTCGCCCTGGACGCCCTCTCGCTCTCCCTGCTGCCCTCCCTCGTCCTCCACCGCTCCTCCCGCGCCCCCCCTCCCCCCCTCTCCCCCTCCGCCGCCTCCTGTGCTGCCAGCGCTGGTGCACCCCTCTCTGCCCGCGCACCTGCTGCTGCCCGCATGGGGTTCAGCTTCCCCGGGCGGGCAGACGCTGGCACAGGTGGGGCAGCGGAGCAAGGAGTGGCAGTGCACGGTGGAGGCGAGGGCGCGGGCATGGATGCTAGGGCGGATGCAGCAGCGCGTGCGGGTGGTGGGGATGCGGTCCAGGCGGTGAGGCGTGGCGAGGGCAGGGCAGGGCGCAGCCGGCGCAGAACACAGAGCTTCACGTGCGGGGATGCGAGCACAGGGCGCATGCTGGAGGAGGTGCTGAGGCAGGCAGGCGCGGAGCAACAGGCGGGCCAGCAGCTGCTGCAGCAGCCCGCCAAGCTGCCCTCCACCAGATTCGCTGCTGCTGGCCCCCACGCCCACGCCTCTGCTGCCCCCCACGCCCACGCCTCTGCTGCCCTTGCAGCCGCTGCTGCGCCAGCTGCTGCTGGGGGCAGCTATGGTGGTGGTGGCGGCCGCGGCCCTGAGGCTCATGCTGACACGGGCTCTGGAGTTGACTGGACGCAACACAGTGGTGTCAGCGGCACAGCCGCGGCAGCAGCAATGGCAGCAGCGGCAGCGGCGGGTGCTGCAGAAAAGGGTGCAGCGAAGACCTCCTCAGGTTCCGATGGGTGGATGTTTCCGTTCGGTCTGTCTGCTTCTCATGGCCCTCGCACCCTCCACCCGCAGCAAGCGCAGCAGCAGGAGGAGGAGAGGCAGCGGGTGGAGCAGCAGCAGGAGGGGCGTGTACCAGTGGGGCAGCTGGAGAGAAGCAGCAGTGAGGGCTTTGCCATGCGGCGGCGGCACCTGCTGGTGGCACGCGGGCGCACGCGGTCCATGGAGTGCATGGGGGGGGGGGAGGTGCGCGAGTGGGGTGGTGCTCGCTCCCCAGAGCAGCCTGTGGGTGCGCTGGGCGAGCGCAGAGAGGGAGACGGGAGTGGCTTTGGCGGCGCCTCAGGCAGCGGAGCAGCAGTGGCGGGCAGAGAGGGTGGCCGTGGGCATGGTGGCGAGGAGAGCAGAGAGGGGAGCAGCAGCCCTGGGGTGGAGGTGCCACGCCTCCCATCGTGGAGCCCTGCCAGTGGCAGTGGGGCGCGCATGGCAGGCAGTCCGCGCACAGGAGGGGTTGTGGGGGCCATGTCGGGCATGGCGGGCAGAGCAGCAAGCAGCGAGCCTAGAAGTCCCAGTGCACAAGCAGGTGCGGAGAGCATTGGGCGTGCGGTGGGTGGTGGCGTGGAGGCGAGTGTGGCGAAGCTGAGCCGCGTGGTGGAGAGGGAGGACGAGGGGCTGAGTGAGGATGACGCCCCTGCCGCGCGCACAGCGCAGCAAGCCAGGAGGGAGGGGCGCGTGCGGCGAAGCACCACTGGACGCCTATCCATGGAGGGAGGCGCGGCGGAACCGCAAGGGGAGAGTGCAGACGCTCACAGGGAGCAGGGCGGAGAGCAGGCTGTGGGGAGGGTGAGAGGAGAACAGGAGCGGTTGAAAGGACTGAGGGCATCTGAGGAGGAGGGCAGAGGGGAGGTGGGATGGAGAGGCCAGAGGGAGTTGAGGGGGCCCCCCTTGTCGGTGGGTGGCAGTGGGTGGGGGGCGGAGGCAGCAGGTGAGATGCGCCCCAGCGTGAGCTTCAAGGAGTCGTTCTCTGCCCACCACGATGAGCCGCTGGGCAATGGCACCCCAGACCCGTGTGAGGCTGTCAGTCGTGGCAGTGCGAGCAGCTGTAGCGGGGATGTGGGCACAGCAGCAGCAGGTGCGGCACCAAGCAGCAGGGCAGGTGCATGTGGGCCGTTGGGGCGGCAGAGGCAGCTGCGAGTGCAGCACCTCACCTTCCAGCTGCCTGAAGACACCTCCCCCTCACACTCGCCCTCCACACCCACCTTTGACTCGCGCCGCCCATCCCTCAGGCCGCCTGTTGATGCACCTGCGCCCGGCATGCCCGCCATCTCACCACGCCCCCCTCTGTCCCCGCGGCGCCCTCACGTGGACGCGTCCACGGCGGGCGTGTCGGAGCCCAGCACCATGGACGCCATCTACGCGCGCATCCAGGCCCAGGCTGCCGCCTCTCGCCCCCTCGCCCCCACCCGCTCACCCCCCACCGCCGCCGCTGCAGGCGACGGTGCGCGCAGCAGCTTGGCGCGCGGCAGAGAGCCGCCTCCCCTGGACGTGCCGTCCACACCGTCGTCCTCCGCACGCCGCGCTGCAGGAGGGGGCCTGCTGCGGCAGAAGTCAGGCGGGATGGCACTGCTGCAGCGGCAGGGCACGGGGGTGGGGCGGCAGGGCGGGGGGCTGGCGAGGCAGGGCACGGGGCTGGGGCGGCAGGCGAGTGTGAAGCTGAAGCAGAAGCCGGTGCGCGCGGCGAGCCCTAGGGCCATGCTGTCTGCTGTGGCGCTGAACATCCTGCTGGCGGACGACAGCGTGGTGAACCAGAAGGTGGCGGTGCGCTTCCTCAAGAAGAAGGGCATGGTGGCCGACGCCGTGGGTGATGGCGCTCAGGCCATCCAGCGCCTCTATCCCAAGGATGGCGGCATCTCCCCCTACGACCTCCTTCTGCTCGACGTGCAGGTGCGACCTCCTGCTGCTCGACGTGCAGGTGAGCCGCCCCACGTGCAGGTGAGCCGCCACACGTGCACATTTGCCAGCAGTGTGCAGGCGAGAAGTACAACCAGCTTGTGTATGGTCTGGTTGAAGCACAAGTTACCAGCGTGCTGCTTGCATAATCTTGATGCTTGTGTGTGTGTGTGTGTGCGTGTGTGTGTGTGTGTGTGTGTGTGTGTGTGTGTGTGTGTGTGTCTGCGTGCGTGCGTGCGCGCGCGCGCGCGCGCGTGCGTGCGTGTGTGTGTGTGTGTGTGTGTGTGTGTGTGTGTGTGTGTGTTGGGTGTGGGAGGGGAGGGGGGTTGTGGGTGGTTGTGTGTGGGAGGCGGGGCACAGATGCCAGTGATGGACGGGCTTCAGACAGTGCGGGTCATTCGTGAGAAGGAGACAGCCGAGAAGCTTCCCCACCTTCCAGTCATCGGTACGCTGCTGCTTACTTGTCACTGCCCATGCTGCCTACGTACCACTGCCCATCATCCAACGCAAACCCCTGTGCCTTTCCTTGCTACGTATCCTCATACGCATCGTCTGTTGAGGGAGCTGGTGCATGCCTGAGTGCGCCCTCCCCTGCCCCTCGGGCCCGCCCTGTGTTGGCAGGGCTGACAGCGCATGCGGCGGATGTGTACCGCGACCAGTGCATCTCCGCTGGCATGGACGGCTTCGTCTCCAAGGTCACTTCAACCTCCTCAACCCTTCCCACCTGCTTCTCTCCCCCGCTCCCCCCTCTCTCTATGCATGCATAGGTGCACAGTGATGCCATCCTGCATGCATAGGTGCACAGTGATGCCATCCTGCATGCATAGATGCACAGTGATGCCATCCTGCATGCATAGGTGCACAGTGATGCCATCCTGCATGCATAGGTGCACAGTGATGCCATCCTGCATTCATAGGTGCACAGTGATGCCATCCTGCATGCATAGGTGCACAGTGATGCCATCCTGCATTCATAGGTGCACAGTGATGCCATCCTGCATGCATAGGTGCACAGTGATGCCATCCTGCATGCATAGGTGCACAGTGATGCTATCCTGCATGCATAGGTGCACAGTGATGCCATCCGGCATGCATAGGTGCACAGTGATGCCATCCTGCATGCTTAGGTGCACAGTGATGCCATCCTGCATGCATAGGTGCACAGTGATGCCATCCTGCATGTGCACATGTACAAGCACGCACGGGCACACACTCACACCACATGGAACTGCACAGCACACATGGAGGCAAGCAAGCACACATGCATACAGGTAACCCATCCCCAACACACACACACGCACGTCCTGACACCCCTTGATGCATCGGAAATCTGTCAATGGCTATGATATAGCATTGGCATTGCAATTTTGTTGTTCAGTCCTTCATGTGCAGTTGAATGGTCCTAGGCAAAGCACATTCACTATGGAGTTACTGATCCATTCTCCACATTCCCTCCCCCTCCAGCCATTCACTGTGAATCAGCTGCTGAGCATGATGCAGTCCGTGCTTGAGAAGTATTCGCATAAACGACTCCCACCTGAAGCGATGACATCATAGCAGGCAACACACTTTTTGCATCTTCAACATAGTATATTTATGATTAGTTTAAAAATCATTTTAAAAACTTAATGCAACTACCTGTGCAATACAATATACCGTCATCTCCCATATATAGGACCCGTGGGTCTTACGGGTAGTCTAGGTGAACAATACCAAACGGCATTTTTTATAAGACACATGCAAACCAGGCCCTCAAATTCGTTTTGGGCCACACTTTTTCGTCAAGGTTGCTCCTAAACAAAAACTTTCTATCAGGGTCCTTACGAAAAAAAAACCCTGAAAATCAGTAATGCCTTAATTTTCTTTTTCTTCATCAGGGTTGGTACAGATTTTTAGCCTTATTTAACCAGCCTTCATCAATGTTGCATTAGTTATGTATGTAATTGTTTGGGTTAAGCTTTTAATGTTAAGGGAAGGGGGGAGAGGAGAGGAGATAGTGGTGGGGTGGGGTGGTGCAGCAATAGTGTTATATTGAGTCAATCAAACAGTCAAACATTGAACGTCCTACCTAGTACCACGTATCATCCTCATCACCGCTATCTCCTACATCATCTTCATCTAAATCTACTGGGTTGGCCTGGTCTCCAGCCTCAATCTCCTTCCCCCTCCGCCTCTTCTCCACCTCCTGCATGGCTATGGTGCAGGTGCTGTACGGCTTCCGCTTCTTGTAGTTGCGCCATATCTCCACTATCTCGTCCCAGTTAGGCTCGTAACGGAGCAACAACATGCACATCAAGTTGCTGAGCCGAGCATCCTTGAGGCTGCCTCCCTGCCAGGACTTGATGACGTTTTGGCGCGAGAAGCCGCGCTCGCACTCAACGGTGATCAACGGCAGGACCGCCACCGCCACCCACAGGCGCACCAGAGCAGCCAGCAACAAAGAGCGTGAAACAACGCCGACGAGAGGCAAGGAAAAAACGGGCATTAAACAGAACCGCCAACGAACAACCGAATGATACTCGGACAGAGGCAGCAGGGGATGACGGTGGACAGGCTGGGGCTAGGGTTGAGGTAGGAGGAGTAGCTGCACGAGTAGCAGCCGCTGTTCCAGCAGCAGCAGAACCAGCAAAGGGGGTGAGGAAAGATGGGAGACGAGCCGGGGAGAAGACAGGAGCAGTAGCTATACCTGCAGCAGTTGCTACCGTAGCAACGGGACTAGAGGCCATTGCAGCGGCAGCACAAGCAACAGTAGGAGCAAGGGCTCCAGCTATTGCCAATGCACTAGCAGCAGCCATACCAACAGGGACAAGTGCAGCCACCGCACCTAGAACAGCACCAGGTGTTAAGGCGTTCGCGCAGGTCGGTCATAGGTACCGATTCCACTAGGGTGTATGTGCTAGTGTCTGATAGCTGTCTGAGTGCCTCCGTTCGATACCAAGAGGTGTCTAGTAGGGCCAGTCCTAGATTTTTGTCCGCTGGCTTCACCACGACATTTGGGTTCTTGCCCAGCCTTTTCAAGCATCGCAACGCATGCACGCTCATGTTCCTGCGAGCTGGGCGCGTCATCAGTGGAAGATGCTCAGAGATTTTTTCTTCCACCTCAGCGATATAGCGTTCGACAGGAGGCAGTGCAGGGTCGGGCTGATAGGATGGTTTTGGGATACGAAAGCGTGGGGCTGGTCTGTTGGACGAGAAGTGTGAGATAAGCCTCACACTTCTCACGAAACGTGCGAGGGCACTCCTTACTGTTTTTTCAGTGGGGGGTGAGGGTGTTGGGATGAAAGAGAGTCCTAGGCTTAGGCCCTCAAGTTCTGTGGGTGATAAGTTGAGTGTGGATTTGTTGTG